ATAATAAAGTAGTAAACTAATTATTAACAAAAGTTTACTGACTGTATATATTTACTAGGAAAAACATTTGATAGCTACCTATAATGAAGGATTAATTCTTGCAATACTTTTTATAACGCTGCAAAATTTTATTTTGTTCTTTTTTTAATAATAAATAATATTAATTTTTTTAATAATACTATTTTATTTAAATAATAATACCAGTTTTATGGTATATAAAATATTATTTTCTGGATAAATAAGAACGGGAAAACCCACAATTCATTAGCATATCATATGTAGAAACTTGTATTTTTTTTTACGTAATAAGTAATAGATATTTGAATTAAAGTAAATGAATTTACCATGATTATTATTTTGTGCTAGAATTTATTAATTAATATCAGAAAATGAATAAACATTCTGTTACAACAATCTGTTGTGCGACTTTCGATTGATCAAAGTTGATTAACTTTTACACATTTCAATAAAACTGAGTCTTTACAGCAGACAATTAATAATAATTACGACTATTTGTCTAATTGTGGACAGATAAATCTATATTTCGCAGAAAGCGAAAATATAGTTCTTGTTTTCACTTTCCGAATGCTTTGAATCATTTATGACAAACTCGACATTAACATCGATTCAACCGCATTCTGTTCGTGCGGTTTCATGTCGATATTTTACATCCAACACTAAACGTTAATATTTATTCAAGGTAACATTGTTGTACTAAAAAAGATTATAAAATTGTTTCTAAAAAAATTATAAAATCGAATTATGAAATTTATAATAAGAATATTTATATTTATAACATTTATATTTATAACAAGAATGTTATATAGCCTGCAATCGAATGAGCGGTTCTCCAAATGTCAGTTGTTAGAAGAGAATGACAGAATTGTTAGAAGGTCGTCATCCGAAGCGTGAAAAATACTCTACAATGTTATAACCCTGACGACCGAAATGGGTTACGCTTACCTCATATTGAGTGTGCGACTTGTAGAGAAATTTCTATTGCTGGTAATGCTGGCGACGATAGTCGCACTCAGATTGCCTTCGTTCTTTCCACATGAATTCCTGAATGCCAGATATGCTCTGCTAAGCAACCGTAATTTTCCATGACATGGCATTATAAGGCGCGAATATCGTTATCGCCGAGAGAATGAAGTGCGAGCGAATAGAAAAAAAGAAAAAATCTTGATAACGATAAAATTTCGACAAGCTACACACACCATAAAGGTCGAATAGTGACTGAAAGCACTGAAAGGTATCCACGTTCGCCGCGAGGGTGGCACAAGCATGTAGCGATGGCCATTATTAAGGTATATCCAGACAACCTTGCATAGGCGCCTAAGCATATGCATAAGGAATTGGATTGGTCCACTTCTTTTAAGCATCTTCTCATGAACCAATCCATTTTCTCATGCATATGCTTATGCACTATGTAAACTTGTCTGAACATACCCTTACTCACGTGATCTCTTAATAAAAACTGATTTTTCTCGATCTCCATTTTAAAGTGCTTGGCGATCGATGCGATATGATATATTTTAGACGGATTAAAGGAGATGACTACTTTCCGAGTAAAATAAACATTCCGTTTCGCACAATATAGAATGTGTTATCTTATCATTTTGAAAAGCAATACTGATTATCGAGGTAATATAAAAATTTTTATATCTGCGAAAAATACGCATTATATGTATCGTTTGATGCCATAATTTTATGTCAAACGCATATCAATTGTAATGAGAATTACAAAAGACTACTTAACAATTTTCAAAAAAACAGGGGCAATTATGTATCACTTAAAAGATGCAATTGATATAATACAATAAAATATGATTAACAAATGTGAGGCTAGAAAAGAACACGATTCACTTTTAGATAGCATTATCTTTGATATTTTTTCAATCAAAACTTATAATTGTCTAATAATTAACGTAAGCAACATAATTAAGGTAATGGTTTTCTGCGGGTAATTAAAAATTCTTCGCGCTCCTGATAAGGTTCATATGGGTCATCGACATAATAGTGTCGCCTACGCCAGTACTTTGATACCATTTTGTCCAATAATGTGGATTGTGTGGCATTACAGAATACATGCTCTCGTAATCTCTTCTTTCTAGCAGATGATTTTTTCCACAAGTGTTTTTTTCGACCTGCCCTTGTTCTAATCCAAATACCCCTGTAACATTTTTTAAATTCAAATCTAGAGATTATCTATTATGTTATAATCATCAAGAAGAATTTGTTCTCAATCAGTATTTCTTAAAATTATTATGATGATTTAATATCCCTGAAATATTACCAATTTAATCTGTAGAAACGTTGTAGGACTGTCTTTACAGTTCGTCGCTTTCCTTTTGTCATGCTGAACTTGGTTATTGTTCTAATTGGTACATTAATAGGTTCAGCCAAACGATTCTCTGTTATTGTATGACTAAAAGAAAAGCATTATTTTTATGAATTATTATTCATAAATTACTTCAGTAATATTTTACATTACTTTAGTAATGTGCTATGTTGTGTAGATCCAATAGTTGTCCATTTCTGAACAAGAGTAGACAATGCTCCAAATCCTCTATATTGTGTATAATTCAAAGTAGGAGAGCATTTTGAAACAATGGCTGTTGTCACTTCTGCATTTGTTGCTCTTGCTGCAATTCCTGAAACAATAATAATATATATGCTCGTAATATAAGATAAATTTTAAAAAATTTGTATTGCAAAATATATTTTAAAATGCACACAGATAGTATTTAGATATATCTTTTCATATGCTATTTAATCATTAAAATTTTTGATACGTGTTTAACTATGCAATTAGAATATTGAACAATTTAAATTTCCAATAAAAAAAAATTAAACAAAGTATCTCCATGTCCATTCGATATGAAATAACTTCAAGTTAAAAATGCACATTCAAATGCGCGCCCGAGTCCGAATTCCGCGCCGTTCCTTCTGTTAGCTGCGTAACATGGCGGTCGTAATATATTGAACATAACCTCTATATGTCGTGGTTTTTATTACTCTCGTCACAACAAATCGCGGAATCGCGACGAATTATGTCGCAGCGTGAAGTTACCGCGTGACTATTCTTCGTAACACGGTCGCCGATCACGGAATTGGTCGTAAACCACGCGTACACCCACCTCGCAGCGCTGCGCCTACGACACGCAACATTCTTCTTTTCGCGCAGTTCCTTCTGGTCGGTGACCAGCTGTTTTGTGCCGTCGTTCCCTTTTTCCCGCTGGCTGCCTGACCGGCCACCCGAAAGATGTTCCGAATTGGATTAAAATTTCCGTGCAACGGTCTAAATCGGGTACGTAGAGCGAGCGAGGAGATTGCGAATGATGTGCAATCGTTCGAGTTTATTCTCGGGAAATGCAAAAGATCGCCGAAAAACTAACGTCGCCCGCGATGACGGTCGCACCTTGTCACGTCGTCCTCGCGATAGTGCTATGTAATGTTCGCTTTGACGCTTCTTTCTCTGCCGTTGTTATATGTTGTACAGTCGATGACAAACACCGAAGAATCGGACATCAGGTTGATGATGTCATCCACGAAAATCTCCAGTGTTCATTCAATCGCGGGCGACGTTTCGGCACGTACGCCTTGTGTGTGACAAAGATGGCAAGAATTCGTAAGCTTACATAATTCCAGAAGATCTCTGACCCGTCACCGTTGCTCTTTCAGGTCAAGAAACACGGCTGCTCTAGATTATACTTCACGGCCAGGTACTACGAAACGCGGGCGCGCGTGAAACACGAGCCGGATGGAAGGTGAGACATCAGGAAAGAGTTTACTTTTACGATGACAGGTCTCATTGTTTGTCAATAGTGTTGTTATTTCTTGTTGAATCGTATTTTTATTTTATTAGCTTTGTAATACGGTTGACAAAATTTATTTATGTTGTTTATGGACGGTGAGATTTTGTGTGTTATTTGGAGCGCGATAGGTTATGTTTGATATTATGTGTTTTTCCGAAATAATAATAATTTTATGAATGACATATGTGTATTATATTCGTACTTTTACTACTGCTATAATCAACAGAGTTTTACACGTTAAATAATCGCTAATTATATACATTTTATTTTATTATTTTTTAAGATAACTGTTGTATACTATTTTTTTTAGGCTATGCAAGGATGTCAGACTTATATCCAGGTTTACTGGGTCTAAGTATTCAACTGCACCGCCAAGAAGGTACACAGAATATAAATTTAAAAACATTTAATATTTAGTAAATTGATGCATGTTACTATTGTTGGTTTACAGTTTGATACATGTTAAATGTCTATAAAATTTTGGCTGTGTACTGTGTTAAGAGAGAGAGAAAAATGTAATTTATATAAATTAATATTATTTAAACTGATACATTACATTTTAATTAAATTATTTGACATATATGTTTACAACAGTGAAAAAAGTCGAGGATCAGGAACGTTGATAACTGTGGGAGCTATAACGATAGGTACTGTAGGAATATTAGCATATGCTAAAAATGACCCGGAAGTTCGAGCTACTCTTGAAGGATGGATTCCTGGCACAGACAAAGCTATTCGGATTATCTTTCAGGAAGATTCCAATTATTTCGACTTCATACTTACATTCTTCGAAACATTGAAGCAAACGTAAGAAAATAAATTATATGCTACATTAATAATAATAATTAATGACTTTATGAAAGTTATATATATATATATATATATTTTATACAGGATACTGGGCATGTTCACAAAAGAGGCGTCAAAACCAGAATCAGGTCAGATACATAAAACAATAGATTGCATAAATCTTACGGAATACAAACGTGAGCCCCTATCCATACCTATCTTTTTCCTTAATCTCTGTCTATGTTTTACTTTTTCCTCATACTTTATTCTCTAACTTTTTAGAATTAGATACAGTACATAGAACTTAATATAGCACTCACTTTTTAAATTGTACATAGTTATAAATGTGCTCCTACTAACCTATAACAATTGCGTGTGTGTGCTGTAGCGCCCAAGTCAGCTTTTAAACCATTGGTTGAGAAGAAAGAAGCGCCTGTTAACCAGAATTATGCTGAAATTCGTGTTAGTAAAGAGAAGGGCGAAAAAGTAGATGTTGGTATGTTTGTGTATTTTTCAAAATTATTTTGCACGGAATTCCTTCACAAGAAAAATAATCCAATAATTTATGTTTTTATAGTAGTTGAAAAGCCAGTGCCACCTTCCAAAGATATATCCAAGGAGTTGACGCCGCAAAACCTCGTCGAGTTAGAAACTTATTCTGGCGAAACTGCCGCTAAAGCTATCGCGGCTTACCATAAGGCGGTGTGCGCGCTTCAAGAGTACAATAAAGATGTCGTCAAAGTGATTGAGGGCGTTGGGGCTACAGCGAATGGAGTTGTTTGGCAAAGGTGATCATCGTTATGCTTACATAACATAACATAACATAACCGTTTCATGCTCATTTCTGTATCGATTATATAATCGTATTTGTCGCAATTGTAGGTTGAAGGAAGCCACGGAAAAAAGGAAAGAGACGGTGCAACAAGCGGAACAGAATGCAAAAGATGCATTAGACTCACTCAAACGCATGTACAATTTAATTGACGAACCTGTGCTTGAGGCACCCGCTCACATGAAAACTGCCGCGAGACGGAATGTTAGGAAAATTTTGGATGATGTGGATAATGCTAAGAAAAAATATACCGACGAGCTGCAGAGCGGCAGCATCGCCGAGCGCTACTGGAAGCAGGTTAAGACAGCGCGGGAGAATTTTAACGAAGAATTGCAAATTCTGTTTCCCAGCATAAATATTCACGACAAGAAATTGTCTGTTACTGAAGATGCCTTCGATTTATTCGTACTGCATATGTATCACAAAGTCAACTATCTGCAGAAAGAGTTGGAGAAATTAAGGGTGCGTTGTTAGCATTATTTATCCGACGGAAATGTCAAATCTTGAATTTATATCTCAAAAATGCTCTCGCACTAACGCGACGCGACGAGATAAATATTTTGTCGCCAATAAATTTTTATAAAAGAAAATTTTTTTAATTACAGACAGTCAGCGAAGCTAAAGTGAAAACAGCATTGAGGGCGGCAGGTGAGGACGCAAATCAAGAAAAGCTGGACGCGCTGATCTGTCTCGCAATTGATCAAGAGAAACTTATTTTGGAAGATGAGCACACGAGAAAGGTAGGAAATTTTTGTCATATATTCTGACATGCAAATTGCGAATATAAATTTTTTATTTCAAGAAAAATATTAAATTTTAAAATTATACGCGCAATTTTAAATTTATTGTAATTTGCAAACGTAATATGACGCGTTATCCTGTTCTGTGAAATTGCGTTTTTGCCTTTTTTGTTTACGCATTCTGCCGTAGAGAAGTGCTAATTCGTTTATAATATGTGTATACAAGTACGCGATGAGAAAAGCAATCCTACTCGGATAAGATACAGATGTCTTTAAAGCGCAATGTGTACCATACGAATTACACACGAAACGCGGGGTCTGCGCGCTTTTGTGCGTCTATCTCTTTTTATTTTTCCTCTAGTGTGCGAATGCGGATGGACGTAAGCTTTAGCACCATTATTAATGTTGTCTTAGTGTTCATATGAGTTTGCACCGTAGCGTATGAATACATTGAAATCCAGCTCTGTCATTGTGGCGCGGATGTAACGAATTAAAGGGAGATAGCGTAAGATCTTTTCATTATCAAATTGTTCGTACCACAATGGCAAAACTGCATGAAGAGTGGAAAATTTCTGAGATTCCCGGGGAAAATGTATTTCGCGGCGAAAGGGAAAAATGACGGAGGGACAGTTAAAAGCGGGACGGAGGTGCTCAACTTGTGAGGTAAAAGAATAGAGAGATCGCGGTGATAAAGCGGACCTTCATTAAAAGCGTTGGAGAAATAGCGGAAAAAGAAAGTAACAACGGGTTACTTGAGTCATAGCCGCTTACATCGCGTTTCAGTGCTTTTCAAGACCTCTCAGAGCTGAATGAGTCGCGCATAAAATGATATTCGGGCCTTGTCCCATAAAGCAATAAGTACATTTTATGAAATTCTGCTGGTAACGCGAAATTATTTTTTCAGCTTCAATAATCCTTCATCTAGCATCTTCTTACCTTCAATATTTGCGCGAGCGTTGCGAATGAAATGAGACGAAATCGACTTTTGCGAACATAAATCATATTCAAATCGCATAAGGCATAAGTGCGTCATATTTGTCTTGTATGTGACGAATTTAAATTAGCTCGCTGCGGTATGTAATGTCGTGTACGTGATGCATCCGGATGCATCCGCTGCATCGGAGGATAGTCCAAGCAGCAACCCCTTTTATTTATTTCCATTTGGCCGGACGCCAATATTTCGACAGCGACGGACGATATTATTCCCTTAAAGCTGAGGCGACGTTCGCCATAGCTACCGTATGTCACCGCGAGGTATCCGCCGAGGAACCATTATGACTTACTGTCCTCATAGTTGTCCGACAGCTCTTTTCCGGGACCCCTTCTTTATATATTCCCGTCTCTCTCTCTTACAGTCGCCGCGCGTTACCGGATATAAATCTTGTCGGATCGATCCGGCTAGCGGCGCGTACGACCTTTTGTTCTCGTTTCGGGACAGGAACAACGGTGTTCTCTAATTGCTATTTGTCTACGAGCTTCCGGTATCGCTCGTTAATGTCCGGCCGAATATTTTACCGTTAATGCATCGCCGAGCCGATATCATCCCCGTCAACCATTAAATTACATATATGAGCATGGAATTAATTAATGGTAATTATTGTATAATTCGTTCATAAGTTGCCGCCAACAAACGACCGTTCGTTCCGCGACAGTCGATGCGAAATGTCGGGGACAAATGCGACAAAAGTATGTCACATTGCTGTGTGTGTCGTGTGAGTGCTCGACGGATCGCGAACTTTACGATGCATTCGCGCTGCTCCTCGTCACGGATCTTCTTTTGTGTCATTTAATTAACGTAGTTTCGTCTTTGGAAAAACAACACGTCGCGTTGTCGTCGTCAACTCGAGTGACTTCGTATGTTTTCGCTCGCGAAAAGTGGAGACAGGGTCGCGCTGTAAATCATCTGTGAGAAGAAACGGTCATTGCGAAAAGAATGGGTCAGCTCTTTTTCCGTGCAAGTCATAGAAGTTAACTACTTTTTTCTATACCGAAAGATACACTAACAATTGTGTTGGGAAATATATTAAGTAGAAAGCACTGTACAGAAAATAGTTGATTTTCTTTAGGAAAGAGTTCTTTTATCAAACCGTCAAGCTCTGCTTAATATCAGCTGATCAAATTAATAAATCACATTAAATCACAACTATTAACACGATCAGGATAAAAATTACTACTCCTGCGGGAAATACATTGTAAACATATTGCATTAGACACTATTGTTAGCTTCTCATCGAATGTTCTATTGCTACACTCGTAGCGTATAAATAAAGTTCACTGCGAAACCGTGCGAAAGCCGTAAGAATAGTAAGTATACGTCGTCCCAAGATCGTAGAAAGCTTGAAAAATTCAAAGTTCCTTATCTGCCGCCGCCGTTTGGGATTTCAGCCGTGGCCCGGCCACGAGGATATCTTTATAGCGGTACACCTGAAAGTTATTTACCGAGACGGACGTGAATTATTGATGAAACTTTTTGCCGCGATTTGTTTTGCCCCTCCCGCACGCGAATGAAGCTTACCTTCCACCGTGCAGAAACAAAAAGAGAGTGCTGAAACTCGTCCATTTTCTGTATAATTTTTAAAGCACATCGCCGCGCGCGCGCGATACTCGTTAAAATATCGTCGATAATTTCACAAAGCACGCTTTCACAGGAGTTAACGAACTCTATAGTAATTAATAAAAGTTTACGAACATCTCTTATTTTTTTCCACAGAGCTTGCGCGCTTTCATTCTTAAAAAATGTATTCCGCTATAAAAAAAATGCCACTTTAATAACATTCCTTTGAATTGTAATACTCTATACGCTTTTAATATTCTCGTTTATCTTTCATAAATGCGCAATGTTCACGCTCGTTTATAATCCTTGGAAGTCGTTTAGTTGCACTCTTCGAAGTGGCGCACGCGTTCTTCGGGATCCTTGAACGATCCTTAGCGCACGTGTTCGATGTGGCGCCGATCGTATATTTGCTTTTACGATGGAGGCATCCGCCGGTGGGAAAAATATTACACGACGTGCAGCTCGACTAACCAGCCGCATGAAAAAGGAAGAGGCGTTAAGCGAGATCTTTTCTATGGGCTTCTTGTAAATCGAGAAATTCCCGTATTAACGTCAACATAATTGTACGTGCCGCACACAGCACTCTTCTCGCAAAACCCTACGGGCTTTCCTTCCCGATTCGACAATCGATTTCTTCCACAAGCACTTTATTGTCATGAATCGCAGATACGTAGCTTTCGCGTTCTTCACCGAGATTCTGGAATAATTTGAAGACGATGTCGCCGTTCGAATTTTTTTTATGAATTTTTAATAGGACTATTGAGTGCTCCGAATAGAAAATGAATAGAAATCTCCGATTTTATTTAATGACAATTTTTTGGATGATTTTTAGTTGAAGAAAATTTCGCGGTAGGATATGATTTGTGGAAACTTTTTAATCCATCATTGCATATCATGATAATTAAATCATGAATTGAAATTCTTCTGAAGAAGTAGAGTTCAATTGAATATGAACAATAAGATTATTCTTGCTCGTTTAATTACATCTGAGAAGTTTAATGAAAAGCCCCTTATTTCTAACAAGAAACTATTGATTTTCGATTGGAAAACTATTACAACTTCAAAACTATCGGTACCTTGACATTTTGCTTCAGGGACGAGTCGAGCGAGAAAAACAATTGATTGCAATGTGCATGCTAAAACTAGGAAAAATATTTTCATCGAAAACGTCGAGAAAGTTGACAGAATCATTGTCATAAAGTTTAGTTTATTTCACAACTTGGGAATATGCGCGATCTAATAATCGTAAACTTTAAAGCTCCCTTCTCGCATGTATTACCTGTCACATATAGAATGAAGATACGACGAGGATGAAAATTCACTTCAGTCTCGCAAGAATTCTTAAGGATCTCAAGAAAAAAAATATGAATATGTGAAGTCTTTTTACTTTACTTTAAAAGTGCGATAGAATTTACAATGTATATAAATTCTGAAAATTCTTTATTACAATCATTTTATTTTTCGGCACAAAAGAAATCGATCTCGTTAAGCAAGGAAAGAAAGAGCGTAGCTGGCTTTTCCAGCCGTTTTGCTCAATTATCGCGGTTGAACACGAATTTCGCGAATGTCCTGTCCGCGACATTTAGAAAAAGCTTGAAGTTTTTCCATCGCAAACTTTCGCTCTATCGGCGAAGTCGGCGGGACGCGAATCGCGCGAGTTAATAGCATCAAATCCATTTTCTTTTCTTTTGAAGGGGTTCGCCACATCAGTCGCGATCCCTAGGTAGATTGCCGTACAAATCGTTGTCATTAAATTAGTTGCACGCTGAGAAAAACTGCTACGATTTCGTTCACCGAATCCGTCTTCGCGCGAGATAAACGCAAGAATCGAGTAGAATTCGTTATCGTCAGCGTTCGAGAGCGGGCAAGCGGGAGAGAGAGAGAGAGAGAGAGAGAGAGAGAGAGAGAGAGAGAGAGAGAGAGAGAGAGGGAGAGAGGAGAGAGAGAGAGAGAGAGAGAGATAAATATGCACGGAGAGACATGGGATGGATAACTGTGAGAAAAACATTCGTCGTGCTATTGTTGTAAGCGAAACGATTTTTAATTTCGTGAATATAAGCGGCTTGCGTTTTTCTTCCACTACACTTAATTAATCCGATTTGGCGCAATTGCGGCTGTTAGTGAAGTACTTTAGATTTTCCAAAATGCGTTATAGAACAATGTGCTGGAAACAGTTTAAACAGATAAAACAAAATCTTGCCTCTTGTTATTTGTCTTTATGTTATTTTATCGCATATAAAATTTTGATTTCACGTCGCTTTCAGAAAATTTTCGTGGAAAAATAAATTAAGTAAAATTGGAATCACAAAATACTGTAAATTGTAAATGTTTTTTTGACGAAATAAGATTAATTGAGTTTTACATATTATTTGAAGGATCATATAATCATTAACTACTTTTTCGAGAAATGGAAGCAAAAGAAGAAAATTTAATTGAAAAATGTAAAAAATGTAGCTCGTTATCAAGAAAAAGACGCGACGGTTTCTTGTCACGTCGAAACTGTCGCAGTATGAAAAACGTGGCTACTTTAAGATTGCAACTTATTTCCATTCGTTCTTGATTCCAGCTTATTTCGCGCTACATGAAAACAACCGCGTCTTCATATATTATCGATATAACCGACATTAACTATCTCCAAAACTTGAGCGGTTTATTTGCTATTCTCGTCGATAGATCTAGAGATCACAATCGAGAAGGCTCGCGTTCCGTGACGACGGAGATCCCTATTGCACCCTTGCCTCAAACGGTCTGGGTTGTCGGGTCAGCCGGGCGTTAATTATTGACACGGGCTTTCGGTACACAGAATTCCAGGCGACGGTGAGCCGTGCAGTGTCCGCGAATCGCTCCAGAAACATGTATCCGTAGACGTTGCCCACACGAAACACGACATCGGTCAGGGGGTAAAATGGTACTTGCAAGCACTACGAGATCGAAACAGGGAACAGAGGGTGCGGGACAGACTTTCGGGGCTTGGGTCGCTGCCCAATGAGGGCGGTCCTGCTGATGCCTTAAGTGCGGATAATTCATCAAAGTCTCATTAGGCTAATGCCTCGAGGCCTGGCACCTTGAACAGCATTATTACTTCGAGAGTATTTGCTGCAAGAATACAGGAGGCGCGAGCTTTTCAGGAACTTAATTTTTTTATACGAAGTTTAGTCATCAAAATATATTTACAAATTGCTGACAAGACTGGCTAGAAAGATGGCAAATTTTCGTTAAAATTCGAGATTTTTTCAGTAAAAATTTTGTTTTAATTTAAAGTATTTTTTGTATATTTTTTTTGTAAGGTATGTTATGAAAATAAGGTCGGTCTCAAGTTCACCTTCGACGGTCTATTTTTAAAAGATTCAAGTGGTGGAGATGAAGATGTATGTTTTTTGTCATTTCACAAGGGTTGGAAATTTTACGCGTTTCGGTATTTTGTAATAATACGGACCAAATTGTCGAGAGACATTCATTCATCTTACGTTGTAAATTATATTATCTTGTTTTGTCTTTTGAAACTTTAGCTTATTTTTCATGTGACATTTATTTTCTGGAAAAAAATTAAAAAACGACGTTAGAAATTTATATTCGTTATAATGTTATAAATTCATATTTATATTTAATAAAGACAAAGTTTATATAAAATTCACGTGAACATGTGTATTAAAAGAGACAATAAAACAGCATGTTTTATTTCTATTTTTCTTTCTTTAATTATTTATTTCTTATAAAAAAAGCATAAAACGAACGAGCACAAGATATATTATCTGCAGTTCGAATTTACGAGCGACATGGGTCGCGTTTCGTGTTTCAGCTGCTTACGGAGCAGAAGAAGTTCGACGACGAAATGCGGCGGCAGCTGAAATTGCAGTCGGAGATCCACGCCGATCATCTTCGTGAGGCACTTTCGGTCAAAGAGCAGGAAACGCAAAGGACGGTGGAACGCGCGCTCAGCGAGCAAACCGACGCCGACTCCATAAAGCACAAGACACAGCTCGCTGCGGTGGTGGGAAGGTTACGTGCTCTCACGGCGGCTCTTAAAGGTAAGTGTATCCATCGTCTCTTCTTCCTTCGAGCCTGAAGAGGAAGAAGTAATTTTTTTTCGCACGAGATAAGTGCAATCGCGCGATCACACAATTTACGCCGTGCAAAAATATCTCGACCATGTCGTTGCGATCTGCGATCTGATTCCGACTAAACCGTGCGAATTAGAAGGCAGTCACAAGTATATCGTGTAATTCACAAGATTGATATCGCGCTATGAATTCTCGTTAACGGCGTAATTTGCGCAAATTTTGATAAGTCTCGTGGAAAGTGTTCTCGCATCTCACGACGAAGAACATCCATCAGTCTGTAATAAGTAAATGTCTAACACGTAGCATCCATTGTGCCACTCAGCGGACAAATCATCTTTCGGGGAGATGCTTTCGCCTTTGTCGTCTCCGCTATTGTCCGCTATGTCCGGGCGTTTAATTACACGGGCAAAAACACGGGCTCTATAAAGACCGCGCGTGTCCGCGTTGAGAAAGTGTCGGCGACATTTTGAGACGCTTGATCTACTCCCGTTGTTTGTCTTTTCCCGATCCCTTTGTCCTTTTGACGATAATGGACCTCTCGTGTCCCGGTTCGGATCAGGTCAGGTCGGATTTCGTCGGTGACGTACTGCGCGCGATCACTGTTGTTTGCGACCTGCATCCTCTGTCTCTCGACGAATCGGACATGTAACTTAGCCGCGGATATTTACAAAGGAGGAGAGACACGATCTTGTAATTGTTCGCCAAAGAGGGATAATACTTAATAGCGTGATATGAAAGTATCACTATAAGCTGGTCGCAGCTAGAGTTACCGTATTCGGTAAAAGATGAGACTGGACATTTGTTAGAATTTTTTCATCTATATATTCACACCTTTTAATTTTTATTGGAATGCATCGCACGTAAATTTTAAAAAATGTTTTAGAAAAATTAACAAATTAGGTAAAAGGAGGATCAAAAGCCAACGCAGGATTTTAGTTGCTTATTTATAATCTTCTTTATTCTGTATTCTTCGTATACGTTTCGATCGACTTTTCGACCATCGACCTTTTGACCGAAACGTATACGAAAAATACCGAATAAAGAAGATTATAAATAACCAACTAAAATTCTGCGTTGGCTCTTGACGCTCCCTTTTACCTAATTTGTTGATTTTTGTGAACCGAGATTGATTATTTTATAAAAAAAGTTTTAGAAAAACTCGACTAAAATTATATTTTCCAAATATACCGCAAGTTTCTACAAGTTATTTGCAACTAAGTAGAACTTTCTGCAAAAATTTGAACGACAAATGCGAAAGTCAAAGTTGACGATGTTTATCTAATTCTGAACATTCGCCAAACAAAGTTGGGTTCATTGAATGAACTGTGTTGCGAAACGACGAGGGTTTTGTCTCAAACACATGCAGCACGTAGTCCTATTATCTTGCGGTAGCTTTGTAATCCACGTGTGGGACGCCCGACATTCTTAGATGCACCTGTCCGAGATATCCCGGAGCGTGTTTGCCCTTTCTGGTTTTATTGGTAGCAGAGGGAGGCCGGAGTTTAATCCGGATTAACCCTGTTCGAATTTAACACAGCGATGGCACTTCCGCCGGCCCGCCCTTATCGTCGTCGCCCGCGCGGGCCCCCTCTCCCCTCCCCCCTCCGTTCGGTGAGATTAATTCTCGATTAACAAATCTCGTACACGACGTTGCACTCATTGCGCGACGCGCCGACCGGCCGATAACTATCTTTAATTAGTTTCCGTTCGAGTAATTTTCCGGACGACTAAACGGATTACGAACGCGACGCGCACCGATATTTCGCGCTCGGCGCGAATTGCAAGCGTTACATTATTGAAAATCGTTGTCCGCTCGTGGACGCCCTGTTTGTCCGCATTCAATAGCTCTCGCCTTAAAGAGACTCGCGTGTTTATTATCGATTATCGCGTACTTTCTGCTCGTAGAATTCCCGAAGGTTGTTCCGTCTCGTGGAAAATATTCATTGTCGCGAATATTTTCGACTGTAGAATTTTTACAAGTCGCTCGTATTCGTGTAGCGTGTTCTAGTTGAAATTCATTGCGGTTGCTGGTAAACGGTTTGCTTGGACGCGGCAACGGTAACTTCTCGCGAATTGTAGTGTTATTTTCGTCGGTTTGTTTCTCATCGGGTTTCTCGATTAAAACGTCCTAATTTTCCCATCGTCTGCCGGCAGTTATAATTATTGTCCTAATTGCGGATTGTTTCTCAAAGTAGTGACGCCGAATTTGGCCGACTGGAATATTTCTAGCTGGCGTGCTGTACTCGCGGAACCGCTTTTCGCTCGTTAATTAACTTCGCCTAGCGAGCAGGCAGAAATGTAGGTGGTTCCGTGAGAGCGAGAGAGAGAGCGGGGAAAGAAACGTAGAATACGGTGCTCGCCGGTGTATAATATCCATTATCCGGCGAGAAGTCCTGCGTTTAATTTGGTGAATTACGTCGTTTTGCCGGCGGGCTCACGGGACTCGGCGACGGTCGCACAAACAGTTACCGGAAGTTAATAAAATAATACACGTCTCGAAAGGTCGTGGGAGGGGAAGAATACTTTGGAAGCGAGATTTCGTGATTTATAAGTCGGCGTTATAAGATCGTATAATGAAAATAAAGGCGTCGTTGCTTGTTTGTAAACATCGCACGTCGAAAAAGCGTAACGAGTACGATGAGGGGGGGAAAAAAAGCCGCTCTCTCCCTCTCATTATTCGCTCCTGCAGCAATGGCGGCGGGGATGTATTTCATGAATAGAAATTAGCAATAAAAAGATGGTATGAGAAGAGATGAGGATAGAGACGCCAAAGTGTGCAAACTTCTAGATTTCATCGTGGGCGGCGTGATAGCGAACGGGCGACATTCGGTGAGCTGTAAGAGGCGGAAGAAGATTCCGAGGTGCATCATAAAAGTGGTGACTTTTGATTACGCTTTTAGTACGAAAGACAACTCCGCATAACTCCGCAATATCGTAAAACGATAGCGATAAGTTTCGCGCGAATCAGAACTTTGTTTCTCTCCAGCGAGATTATCGCAGGGGATCTGAAGCATCTAACATTTCTTTGTTTTTCGTCGTTATTTGTTTTCTGATTTTGCTTGCCTGCTGAAACGTCAGTTCTCTTATTTCTACGCGCGATGTAACAACGCAAACATATATTTTTCAAATATTTTGCTCTATATCAATATAAAATATTATGGCAACACGATTATTTATTTATAAATATTGCATAATATTTCAGGATTAATGTAGCAATATTATTATGTAGCTGTTTTGTCGTATAATGTAGCTCGAAATATAAAAAAACAAAATTCGACACTCATGCAGGGCGGCTTAGAAATGCGGTGGTAAAGCGGCGGGCAAACGAGATCGTAGGTCGCGGTTTTACAGGCTTGACAAACCGGCTAACGTATGCGGCATATGACCCAATTATAACTTCTACCATACGTCTCTCGCGGGCGCTATTAAGGGTCAGTACACAGCCGCGATGCCGACTGCTCGCGGCGAGGGGAAAAAGCGATCGTCGTGGCTGCTCGCCACCGAAAAACGCGGCTGCATTTTGCGTCTCGGCAAGTTTGCATTAGCGTGGGCGTTTATTGCACGCGCGCTCCAACAAAGAGAATGAGTAAGAAGAAAAAAAAACAATCCATTATTCGTAATTTACGGTAATGCGCGCAGAGGGACAAAGAACGTGGAATTGTTTTCACTTGTAAGCGGGTTAATCTTTTGCTCCGAAACATACGTATTTCTCGAATAACAGTTTGAAAGATCGCGAACGAGACGTGACGTCTAATCCGGTTGTCGCTAAGACGAGATCGACTCGCGATTCATCAAGAAACCCTTAATTACGAGCAAGCGCTCCGTGCATATTCATGCACTTAACGAGACAAATTAAAGCCACGTCGAGCTGCTCGACGCGGCGAGCGATGCCGTCGGACGAATCCTTCGGGACGGAAGGATACGTTATTCTCGCCCGACGTCGATGCGGTTTACCTCTTCCCGCTTGGCAAGTTTCCACCCGCGAAATACAGGATAAATCACCGCCATCGTGTCGAATATTTCCACCGCAATTACGTCGCGTTAAATTCATCCGCGTCGTCGATTCCGTTGAGAGAGCTACGTGAGGAAGCTTCTCGCAAGGAGGCTCCGTTTGACGGATACCACCGCGTTCTCCTATTCGCCTTTCATCCGTTCTGAAGACGATGGCTGTTCAGAACGGCTGCGAGATCTCTCGCGAATATCGCAGATTTGCCTTTACGCCGCGAAGCACGAGGAAACTTTCAAACGCAAGTACTTGCTTAAACGGTCGCGCAAACCATATTTCCACGAGATTTACGACTCGCACGGCAGCCTCTCCGCCTATATCCGATCTTTTTTTCACGATATCCTTCGCATAAAGTTGAGCCGATATTGCGGGAATTGAAATACAGCCTTAAAGGAGAGCGTCGAGGCGTGGCTGGCGTATTTTTTCCCTATCGTTCTTGTTAAATGAATTATTTCCACTCTTTCGAAAGAATAGATTGCGTAGCGGGAGCGTCGCGATCTCGTTCGACCAATTGGTTCGATTAGAAACTCGGATGTCGCTCGTTACTTCGCGGGAGCTGAAATTTAAATCGAGGATAATAAATTTCTTAATCGCTTACGAGAACCATATCCCGGCGGAATTTATAGCGTGTGTTTTATCCAGCCGAGTCGTTCGCGATTGTTTGCGCGGCGAATTGACTTTTTTCGCATACGGCGCGCGCAGTATTTCGGGCATAATTTTTCTTGTAACAGGTTCACTTCATTCGTAACTATAAATTCGTAGACGCTCGTGAACTTTATCTCAACATCAAGCACTCGCTATATTGCGCTTCGCGAGAATTGTGACTCTCGCAGAAATAAGATTTCAATATTCATGAAAAGTGACGTTTTTACACCGGCAAGATTGCGAAAGAAAATCGGATGTTTAATCGCTCCTCGCGGACGCGGCGTTTACGATTCCATATTTTCTCGGTGGTGTGTGA